CTCTCTCTCTCTCTCTCTCTCTCTCTCTCTCTCTCTCTTCTTTGTTATCTCCGTAGGAAGGGAGAAATCCGTTAGGATTTGAACGACAGAGAGAAGAGCGTCTTCAGCCGAATAGAACACCCACGGTCATTATCGCTGCATCTGGACGAAATGTTGCAGCAAATACGGCTATAATGACCGTGGGCGTTCTATTCCAAGGAAGACGGTATCATGGATGTCCCCTGCGCATGCAAGGATGACACGTGTAAAACACCAATCGACAAACAAACTTGTAAAAAATATAAAATAAATAATTAAAATAATTAAAATAATTAAAATAATTAAAATAAAGTATAATAATAATAATTAAAATAAAAACCTCTTGGTTAGGAGTCGAGGACAATAAATAAGGCTCGGATCAAAGGAACGACCCCCCCCTCTCCTCCCCTCCCCCTCCGCTTCATATTGCAATTAAGGTGGGGGGGAGGGGGAGGAGGGGGAGGAGGAGGCATTGGCGGGAAGGCGGGAAGGCAATTGAAGTTCCTGAGGCTGTATTTCAGAGTGGGCTGCTCGTCTGCTGCTTCATTGGGCCTCGCTCCACTCCTCGACATTCTACATGCATTTGGACCCCTTTCTGGACCAGGTGCCTTCGGAGGAGTCCAACATTTTCAATGTATCGGGCCGATTACCAGCTCCAGATACATACGGTATTAACTGTTGTGCAGTGGAGCGAGGCCCATTGTCCTCGTACTATTCGATTAGTGCGTGTCATCCTTAACTGCGCAGGGGCAATGCTAACCTACTCTTTGGCCCGCGCTCCACCGAACACCTTTCATTCTTTCTTTCTTTTTTTCTTTCTTTCTTTCGTTATTTATTTATTTATTTATTGCTGGATAACATTCTAAACGTTTCTGCACCTGGTAATGTTGTCAATAAAAAATGAAAATGGTAGATCAGTTCGAATGCATCTGGTCAATTTACCGTCTAGATACATGTTTAATTTAATGTTACATGTATATCCCTTTAATTCTCTGCCTCGTACCAATTCTTTTTTTTTTTTTTTTTTTTTTTTTTTGGGAAAGCTCGTACCAATTCTAGCGGATGTACGGAAAATTAAAATGAAATTTAACGGATTTTTTATTTTGTTTTGTTTTTTGTTTGACGGTTATTCCGAAGAAATAAATAAAATACTGTAATAATTGGTCGAATCTGAAACGGATGTCCATATCCCCCCCTAAGGACCCTTACGCCTTACTTAGCACTGCCGTTCGTTCGCGTTCCCTCTCGCTGTGCATGTGCGTGTCTTCTTCTTCCCTTTTTTTTTTTTTTTTTTTTTTTTTGTCTTGCATGCACCCTAAATCTGCCACGTGTTCAATCCTTCTTTCTGGGATAACTTCATCTTCCAGCCTCATTGAGCTCGACTCCTTCGACTATCTATCCTCCTCTTCCTCCCCCTGTTAATCCTCTTTGTCCTCATCCTTCGTCCTCCTCCTCTTCCTCCTCCTCCTCTTCCTCCTTGTCCTCCTCCCTCCTCCTCCTCCTCCTCCTCCTTCTCCTCCTCCTTGTCCTCCTCCCTCCCTCCTCCCCCTCCTCCTCGCCATCCTTTTTTACCCCTCCCCCTCTTCCTCTTACTTCTCGTCCTGCTCTTCCTCCTCCTCCTCCTCCTCCTCCTTGTTTCCTCTTCCTCTTCGTCTTTTTCCTCCTCCTCCTCCGCCGCGGCCTCCTCTCTGCCTCTTCCTCCTCCTCCTCTTTCCCCCTCCTCCTCTTCCTCTTCCCCTTCCTCCTCCTCCTCTTCCTCCTAGTCCTCCTCGTGCTGCTCTTCCTCCTCCTTCCCCTCCTCCTCCTCCTCCTCGTTGTTCTCTTCCTCCTTTCCCTCCTCCTTGTCCTGCTTTTCGTTGTCCTCCTTCTGCTCGTCTTCCCCTTCCTCCTCCTCCTCCTCCTCCTTTCTGCTTCAGCTCTGCATTCTCGCGTGCTAGGCGTCCGACCGCAGGGCTTGGGGGAGGGGGCCTGCCACGTTCTCTGCTCAGGGCTGCATTCCCGCGTTTTTTTTTTCCTCTTTAAGAAAATTTTACTTTTAAATGTATTGAAGATTCCCGCCGTTTTGCTCTTCTCTCTCTCTTTCCCTCGTCTGAGCGTTTCTCTCCCATATCTCAGATCCCGACTTGCTTGTAACCGCTCCCATGAGGAGGCCCTCTCTCTCCCTCCCCCTCATACTCACCCTTTCTCTCGCGTCGTTTCGTTTACTCGTCCCGGTCAGCGTCCATTGCCACGTGGCATACTGACACCACCCACGTGGCGCATTGACACCAGCCACGTGGCACCCTGACCACCTCCCCCCTCTTGTATCCTTTTCTTTTTTCAGTTTTTTTTGTTTTGTTTGTTTTTTTGTTTTTTTTTTCCGCCCTCCGTTCATTCGTGAAGTTTCTTTCCGCGTATTTTGAATTTTGAAGGGAAAAAAAAAAACGTTTTTCTCCACGTGGCTGAACATCGGAGGTCCCCCCCCCCCCCCCCCCCTACCCCACCCCGTTAACGTGCCCATCCAATCTACCGTCTTCTACCGTCTTCTACCGTCTTCTACCGTCTTCTACCATCTTCACCCGAATAGAACGCACGCTCGTTGCCGCTGTATCTAGACTGGAAGTTGGCTCAAGTACAGCTGTAATGACCGTGCGTTCTATTCGAGTGAAGACGGGAATGGATTGGATTGGATTGGAGCCTCCTTATGAGAGCAACGCGGCGCCCCCTCTTACCATTGATGTCGGGATCGGGGGGGCGAGTCCCACTACCAACAGCGTTGAGTTTGCTCAACGCCCGAATCTGGACGTGTTTGTGGAGAGGGGCGGTTGCGCAAACTCGAAGCGATTTCTGCACATCTCCACAAATACGTCCAGATTCGGGCGTTGAGCAAACTCAACGCTGCTACGGTGGCAATGGGGCTTGGCCCCGCGGGACCCCTCCCATGGCCAATAGGCTGTCGAAAAAAGTGAGCAGAGTTTTCGGGGTTAAAAAAAAATAAAAAATAAAAAAAAGAAACCCTGATTCTGGCATGCTGACCATTGTGCCGCAAGGGGAAACCCTTTTCCTACCGTCTTCTCCCGAATAGAATGGCCAGTCATTACAGCTGTATTTGAGCCGAATTCCGGTCCAGATGCACAGGGATAATGTCCGTGGAAAGAAACCACCCGAATAGAACGCCCGGTGATTACAGCTGCTGTATGTGGACTGAAAGCTGCCCAAATGCAGCTATATGATGACTGGGCGTTCTAATCGGGTGAAGACGGTAGCTTGCTGCTGCTGATTCGCACCTAACGTGCGTGACACGTGGCATGCCTAACTCCTCTCCTCTCCTCTCCTCTCCTCTCCTCTGCTCTCCTCTCCTCTCCTCTCCTCTCCTCTCCTCTCCTCTCCTCTCCTCTCCTCTCCTCTCCTCTCCTCTCCTATTCTCTCCTCAGATTTTCCATCCTTCCTCTTCATACTACTATCTAAGTTTCCTTGGGCCTCGTGGCGTCCCGATCCCCTTCCGTTTGGAACCTCGATCGGGACGTGCTTGCCACGTGATGGCCCCCCCCCCCCCCCCCCCCTCCCTTCTGCCCTTCTTTGCTCTGCAATAGGTCCATGCTACCGTCTTCCCCCGAACATAACGCACCCTGAAAATGAATGTATACACGCTATATTTCCGGTTCGGTACAGTCATAATCAGGGTGCGTTCTGTTCGGGGGAAGACGGTAGCCATTGTGGGCGAAAGACGTCCTGACACATGTCTATCCTTTTTCTTTCTTTGTTTCCCTTTTTCTTCGCCCCAAAACTTGCTATAATTAAAAAAAGAAAAAAAAAAAGAAAAAAAAAAAGAAAAGAAAAGAATCGTGTCTCAACACGTGTCCACATGTCGGTAGATCCTCCCCCCCCACCTTTCCGCTTACGACCTCGATCGGGACGTGCTTGCCACGTGGGGCGACGAAACGCTCTCCCCTCGTGGTTCTGAAATAGGCGTTGCGCTCCTCAGGATGTACTCACACTACGGTAGCTCTATGTTCAATGTATCTGACTGCATTTACGGCCGGACCTGCATGTATCTGACCGCAGTTACGTCCATAAATACGTAGAAAAGTCCTAGTGTGAGTATGCCCTCATTGTGGGGGAAAAACGTTCAGATACGTCTCTCTCTCTCTCTCTCTCTCTCTCTCTCTCTCTCTGTGTGCTCGCTGTCTGCCTGTCTGTCTGTGTCTGTCTGTGTCTCTCCCTCGTCCTCTCTCTCCCTCTCTCTCCCTCTCTCTGCCTCTCTCTGCCTCTCTCTGCCTCTCTCTGTCTCTTTTTCCCACTCTCGCTCCCCCCTCCACGGTACCTCTCTCTCTTTCCCTCCTTCTCCTCCCTCTCTTCCCGTGTTTTGCGAAAGAAGGAAGGAGGAGCAAGCAATTTTCTTCTCCCAACGCACCTATAGGATCGCAGCAGAATTAACGCAAAGGAAGGAGGAGCAAGCAATTTTCTTCTCCCAACGCACCTATAGGATCGCAGCAGAATTAATTAATGCAATAAAAGTAAAAAATTATCGAAGTTAATAAATAAAAATAAAACATCACAGAAGGATAACAAGATGAGGAAAGGGAGAAGAAAAGGGAGGAAGAAAGACAGGAGCAGGGATAGGAGTAGAAGGAGGAGACCAGGAGGCAGAGGTGAACAAGAAACGTGCAAACGTGAGAGAGAGAGAGAGAGGGAGAGAGAGAGAGAGAGAGAGAGAGAGAGAGAGAGAGAGAGAGAGAGAGAGAGAGAGAGAGAGAGAGAGAGAGGACCGCAGGGCAACGATGCTCAACAGCTCTACAAAGATTGCTGGATACGGTTTTATGCTCTTTTTTTTTTTTTCCTGAACTTTTGTGCTCTGATAATCCTCATCTGGGAAAAATAATTAATGATAATACTGTAATGAATTCTAATGACAGGAATTGATAAAAAAATAAAAATAATTAATGTAGACCAATGATAGTGATATTTAACGAGTATAATAATAATAACAATAGTGATAATTAGGAGCATCATCGTTATCTACCCCCAGATGCAATCCGTCTCTCTCTCTCTCTCTCTCTCTCTCTCTCTCTCTCTCTCTCTCTCTCTCTCTCTCTCTCTCTCTCTCTCTCTCTCTCTCTCTCTCACACACTTTTTTTTCCCCCTGATAGGTGGACTAAGTGGATTGATCGGTTGAGTAGATTGTTAGCGTGAATAGACTGGTTGATTGAATCAAATTGGTAGATCGATTGAGATTGATTGATTTAGCAGATGAAACAGATTGGTTGGTTGGTTGGTTGGTTGATTGGTTGATTGGTTGGTTGGTTGATTGGTTGATTGGTTGATTGACTGATTGATTGATTGATTGACTGACTGACTGACTGACTAACTGACTGGCACCCGTTGCTATGCAGCAGCCGGGAGCGGAACGGAGCGGCGATCTTGCGGAGAAGTGGGCGGCCGCTTACACAACGACTGTGTGGGAGTGTTTGCTGACTGACGATGCTCTGCCGGGAGGTGCCTCCAATTGCCAAGCTTCCATCTTTTGAGAAAAACAGCTCCTGACTCTTGGCCAAGAGAACAGTACACCTTTCCTCTGGACTCGTAGCCACGACTCAACGACTACTGCTCTGCAGAGAATGATTCCCTCCTCCTCATCGTCGGCAATGCACATCTCATCTGATGATGGAGCTTGTCAAGCAGCTGGTGGTCAGACTGACCCTGTTGAGTCAGCTGAGTGGGAGCTACGTTTTTCCAGACAGACAGCAGTGCTTGGCAGAGAAGGGATGAGAAGGCTCACCAGCACAACAGTTGCTGTAATAGGTCTCAAGGGCGTTGGCGTGGAGGTGGCCAAGAATCTTGCGATGACGGCGGTGAAGTCGATCCTTCTGATTGATGATGGGGTGATTGGGCTTTCGGATTTGGCATCGCAGTTTCTATTTCGCAAACAGGATGTTGGAAAGAATCGCGCGGTCGTGTGTATGGAACGTTTGATGGAGTTTGGGGACGGAGCTGGACCGGTGGTACGTGCGGTACCCGGGCATCGGATGGGAGAGGTGCTGTCGGAGTGCCACGTGGCAGTCGCAAGTGGCGGGCAGAGCTTCTCAGGTCTAGTCTCCATCAATCAGCTCTGCAGGCAGCATGGGGTGAAGTTTGTTGCAGCAGAAACGAAAGGCGTGTTCTCCTATGTGTTCAATGACATGGGTGAAGGGTTGGAAGTCCTTGATCCGACAGGCGAGCCGCCCCCCTCGCATCTGATTGCCAGTGTTACGCAAGATTACCCGGCGACGGTAACCGTCGTCGAGGAGCAAAGGCTTGGGCTGGTCGACGGAGACATGGTTGTCTTCTCGGGGGTGAAGGGGATGGATCAGCTCAACGACAACCAGCCACGGGTCGTCAAGGTAACAGGGTCGCACTCGTTTACCATCCCCGACGACAGCCGCTCATATGGACTCTATGTGTCTGGGGGACAGGTGCAAAGACTACAGACGCCGATTCGAATGGATTTCCTACCCTTGGAGAAGGCGATTCTTGAGCCCCAGTTTTCGACTTTCAACGAAGAGTGGCCTGATCGTGCCTGGCAAGCGCATATAGCATTCAGGGCCCTTGACGAGTACCAACGGCGCCGCGGCGGCGTTTTGGGTCTATTTCACCCAAAGCAGAAAATTGACGATGATGATGCCGATGAGCTGGTGCGGATCGCGCACGAGATTTGCAGAAGCGTGTGTGTCATGGGGAGCAGTAGTTATCCCGCCGGGGCGGAGGGACACTTCTGTTCGGATGACGGGGCAGGGGCCGTGGAAGGTGAAGGGGTGTGCAGGGTGGCAGCCCAGATGGCAGATGGCGCAGGGTCCAGCAGCAGCAATGGTGGGTGTTTGCAAGACGAGCATTCTGACCACGGTAACGGGTTCAATGGGAGGATTGCAATGCAAGTGGATGATGGTCAAGGCATGGGGGTCGTCGCCGAGGATGAGGAGGAAGCAGCGGCGGATGGCAGCGGGGGGGCGGAATGCGAAACAAGAAGTCAAATGTTGACTGGTTCTGGAGAAGGGAAAGTGGGTGACATGCATTCCATGAAAGTGGGGCAGAGAATGGCGAATGATGGCCTGCTTCGGGCGCTGCTGAGGACAGCGAGGGCGGAGCTGTGCCCCATGGTGGCTGTTGTTGGTGGCATCGCAGCGATGGAGGCGATAAAGGGCTGTACCGGCGTCTTCACACCGATCCACCAATGGCTTTACTTCGACGCAATGGACTGTCTTCCAGTTGAGGTGTCCGGTCCTGAGGAGACGCAACCTTCGGGATCGCTGTACGACTCGCAAATTCTGGTATTTGGCAAGAGTTTCCAGGAGCAACTGACCAGAATGAAGTGGCTTGTGGTTGGAGCCGGCGGTATTGGATGTGAAGCTTTGAAGAACCTGACAATGATGGGCATTGGGTGTGGGGAGGGAGGTGGCATTACGGTCACAGACGCGGACTGCGTCCGAAGGCCACACTTGAGCGCCCAGGTTCTGTACAGGACTAAGGACCTACACAGGCCTAAGGCAACTGTGGCGGGAGAGGTCTTGAAGCAAGTCAACCCATCAGTTCAGATCGATGCCCACCAGCAGCGGTTTGATGCAGAATCAGAGTCTGTGTTCGATTCCTTATTCTTCGAGTCGTTATCCGGTGTCCTTTCGGCCGTAGGCGACTCGACCTCAAGGCTCTACATCGACATGCGCAGTGTCTACTTCAGAAAACCCATGATTGATGGCGGAACGCTGGGGATGAAGGGGAACGTTCAGGTGTTTGTTCCACATCATTCTGAGGTGTATAATACGTCAACACGGGACCCTCCAGAGAAAGAGATACCCATCTGTACGCTGAAAAATTTCCCGTATGCGCCCGAGCACACCGTTCGATGGGCTGTTGACTTGTTCGAATCAATGTTCAAGCAAAGACCAGTTGATGTCAACGAGTATTTGTCAAAAAGAGACTTCCTCGAGCAGCTGAAGAAGATCCCAGCCTCGAGGTTGCCGACTCTTGAAACACTGCGAGATTCACTCGTGCGGCATCGGCCCCTCAGTTTTGATGCCTGCATCGAGTGGGCAAGGTTGCAGTTTGAAGAATTGTTTGTGAACAATATCAAGCAGCTGTTGTACAACTTCCCACCTGACATGATCACCTCGCTCGGCACGCCGTTCTGGAGTGGGACGAAGAGGGTGCCCACGCCATTGACGTTCGACAGTGCGGACCCGCTGCATTTGGAGTTCATCATTGCCGCAGCAAACCTACAAGGAAATGTCTATGGACTCAGAGGGTCAACGGATCACAGCACATTCATTAAGGTATTGAAGGATGTGACGGTGCCTCCTTTTGAACGAAGGGAGGGGGTGAAGATTGCCGTGACGGATTCCGAAGCACGAGCCCTTGCTGGAAGGGGTGGGTCTGGAGCAGGGAGCAGCTCAAGAAGCAAGATGTCTTCTGCCTCTGCAGCTGAGCAGTTTGAAGCGGCTGATGCCTGCGAACGGATACTGAAGGAGATGCCCTCGCCGGCAAGCCTTGCAGGTTACAGGCTAACGCCAGTCGACTACGACAAGGACGATGAGCGCAATCTGCATGTCGAGTTCGTTAGCGCTGCTGCAAATCTGCGCGCTTTGAACTATGGTATTCCAACAACTAATAAACTTCAGGCAAGGCTGGTGGCTGGGAAGATTCAGCCTTCAATCATTACTTCCACGGCTGTGGCGGCCGGCTTGATGTGCTTGGAAATCTATAAGCTAGTCCAGAGAAAAGATCCATCCACTTATCGTAATACATCCTTCAACCTTGCCCTTCCGTCCCTTGCACAGGCGCAGCCCACTCCCGCTGTCGTGCAGAAGGTCGAGACCAGGGATGGCCGAACGCTGGCGTGGACACTTTGGGATCGCTTCGAGATGGACGGAATCAACATGACACTTGAACAGTTCCTCAAGGAATTCAGTCGGCAACATGGCCTCGAGATAACTATGCTCTCATTTGGTAAGAGTCTGCTTTACGCGGAGTTCTTGCCGAAGAAGCGGATGTCTGAGCGCTTGCCGATGACGATGCAGGAGCTTGTGAGCGTCATTGGCAAGGCTGTGGTTCCAAGTAATGAGAAGTGGTTGACCTTCTCGATCTCGTGCACGGACGTACATGGCAACGACGTTGAAGTCCCAGATTTGTCACTCCGCATTCGCTGATCGGCCGCAGTGAGTGTTGGAAGTCTTTTGTCGACGAATCCGGGTGCTTGCGCTGTTTCCTGATCGTGCAGCATTTCAGCAGATAGCCAGGGCGTGCCACTTATGCAGAACTGTTTGGACGATTTACCGCAGACGTGACCCAAAAAAGTCACTGCCATAGAGTGACCGCCAACAGGCGAAGTGGCACTGACACCCGGTTCATGTATGTTGCGAGATGGGCCGATGTGACGTTCTGGCAATTTTGCCATATGCCTTGTGTGTCCGATCATAGAGACCTTGCTTGTGCTCGTTGCGAGATTTTTTCACGTGCACATGGCGTATCGCTGCAACCTGGTCCATGCCTGCTCCAATCTGCTCCATGCTTTTCAGGTGAATCTTGCCCATTTGCAAATGGATCACGTCCGCAGCTTGGACCTACAGGAGTTCTCATTGTGAAGTGAAAGACAAAATCCTTCAAAGGAAGACTTCAGAGCTATCAGATTGGGGATGGGCATTTTCTCAGATGGACAGAGATGGCAACTTGTCAGCTGAACTACTACTCAAAACAAACGATGGACGCTTCTTTGTTCCGCGGCCTTTAGAGGCAGAGAGACCCGGCAGGCACCATGCGGGTCTGTAGTGGAGCCCATGCAGGCTGTAGCAGATTCCCTCTGGATCACACTCTAACATCCTCATTGTCAGATGAACCAGAATCTCAGATGGGCCAGGTTATCAGATGGGCGGGCCAGGTTTCTCAGATGGACCAGGTTCTTGATTGGGCTGTGCGGTGTTCTCAGGTCAGGTGCACCAGGTTCTGAGGTGCACCAGGTTCGCAGATGGAGCAGGTTCTCGGTTGGGGTGTGCTGTGTTCTCCGGTGCAACGGGCTCTCCAATTGACCAGGTTCTGAAATGGATCAGGTTCTCAGATGGGTGGGCCAGGTTTCTCAGATGGACCAGGTTCTCGATTGGGCTGTGCGGTGGAGCAGGTTCTCAGATGGACCAGGTTCTCGATTGGGCTGTGCGGTGGAGCAGGTTCTCAGATGGACCAGGTTCTCGATTGGGGTGTGCTGCAACGGGCTCTCCGATGGACCGACCAGGTTCTCAAATGGATCAGTTCCTTGACTGGATTGCACAGTGTTTTCAGATGCAAACCCACCTCTCAGATGGACCAGGTTCTTGATTGGGCTGTGGTGTGTTCTCAGGTGCGACAGGCTCTCAAATGGACCAGGTTCTCAGATAGATCAGGTTCTCAGATGGACCAGGTCCTTGATCGGGCTGTGCTGTGCTCTCATGTGCAGCAGATTCTCAAACGGACCAGGTTCTCAATTGGGCTGTGCTGTGTTCTCAGGTGCAACCAAGTTCTCAGCTGGACCAGGTTTTCCAGGTGGACCAGGTTCTCAGATGGACCAGGTTCTCAGATGAACCAGGTTCTCAGATGGACCAGGTTCTCAGATGAACCAGCTTCTCAGATGGACCGGGTTCTCAGATGAACCAGGTCGTTGATCGGGCTGTGCTGTGCTCTCATGTGCAGCAGATTCTCAAACGGACCAGGTTCTCAATTGGGCTGTGCTGTGCTCTCAGCTGGACCAGGTTCTCCAGGTGGACCAGGTTCTCAGGTGGACGGGGCTCTTGGATCATTCCGATGAAATAGGTTCTGACAGAAGGGAAGGGAGCTCTGACATCGACCAGGTTCGTTGAAGGATCAAGTTCTTTGATGGAGCAACCTGTGAGATGAACCAGGTTTCGAGATCGTTACGCGGTTGGCGCCACCTGGTCCATTCGAGCTCAAGGCTAACGACGGGGTCTTATTTGGGCATTCTTGGACGGATGGGCTCATGTTCCAATGTGGCGTGTTTGTTCAGGTCGTAGGAGAAGTCGTCGATAGCATCTCTACATTTATGTTGCGGCTCTCAAGAGCAGGAATTGCTTGCTAGTGAGAGCGATCTGGCCATGCAGCCTTTTGCGGAGACTCCGAGTTTGCGGTCCAGCTGATGGAAGATGATGACTTGTGTCCTGTTTCTTAGAGTGTGCGGTACAGAAGATGCAAGACGAGAACATGCGTGCCACTGCTTAGGCCTTGAGAGAGACGGGCTTGTTGTTGAAGATGATGCGTGTCCTGTTTCTAAGACGTAGCCGTTGGGATAATGGTTATTGAAAGCATGCACCTGGTCAGCTTTTATACAATCTGCCGCAGTGACGAGCATCGAGGAGGAGGAGGGGGTGGTCGTCGATGTTGAGCTACAGGTATCAGATACAGAGAAAATGGAAACAGAACGTAAAGTAGGTACGATGTCCCGGAGCTCTTTCTCAAATGTGGCTGCGGCCTTGGGCACTTTGCAGGGACACCTCGGCTTTCACTCGTCAGCTTGGAGTCAAAACTCGCTTTCACGGGCTTGGCGTCGAAGTTGCTTCGACAAGCTAGGCGTCAAAGTCGGTTTCACTGGTCTCCATGGCTTTTAATTTCATCAAGGGGACATGGCAGCTAGCAGCGCCTCCTCGTAATATGTCTCAAACGTTCAAAATCTCGTCCGCCCTGTGCTTATCATCTATATATATGTCTATCTATATCTCCGAGGGCCACAGTGAAGCATACCCCCTTCTTCTGTCAGCAATTTCATGTGAAAGTCGTCGTCGTCGCCAACTCGCCGATTTGCTGCTGCATCCTCCCGTTCCTAATCCTGCGGTGCTCAACTGGCGGTGCAGATCAGTTAGCTCTTTGCCTGTCTTGCTGGCCAACTAGATCTGTCTGAAAGCATTTCTTCAGGAATACCGGGTAGTGGCACTGATACTGGAGTGCTGGAGTCGGGAGCGCTGATGACAGGGTGTAGGGGCATGGCATGCCGATGATGATAGTGATTATGAATGAGGCAAGGGCAATTGTGAAAAGAGGTGCAAAAATAGGCTGAATGGTACACGGTTGTGAAACTTATGATAAAATGCAACAAGGTCAAGTCTCGTAAAAGGTGGTTTTGGCGCCGAGCATCAAGGAGGAGGAGGAGGTGGAGGTGGAGGTGGAGGTGGTTGACGTTTGTATGTGTGTGTGGGTAGCGGTGTGTGTGCGTGTGTGTGTGTGTGTCTGTGTAGCGGTGTGTGTGTGTGTGTGTGTGTGTGTGTGTGTGTGTGTGTGTGTGTGTGTGTGTGNGTGTGTGTGTGTGTGTGTGTGTGTGTGTGTGTGTGTGTGTGTGTGTGTGTGTGTGAGAGAGAGAGAGAGAGAGAGAGAGAGAGAGAGAGAGATGCTGACAGCGATAATTATGGTGCGTCATGAGGGAAGCCACAGAGCAAAAGTAAACGATTCTTTATCAGATGCTCGCTCATGATGATGCAGTGTTTGATTTTTTTAATTCTTTTTACCAAAAACTCTTGCAGAGAGATGGATGGTCATCGGCAACGATAAGGCTCGAGGTAGTTTTTTTCTTTTCTTGTCTTTTTTCAATTTTCAATTTTTCAAATCAATTTTTCAATTTTTGATTTTGAGGATTGCGGTAGATGTTATCCGATTGCGGAGTGGACATATGAGACATGAATGCAGAACAGTTGGGATACTTGCTGCAGAGTGACGGAGCCCAAAAAGGGGTGTGTTGTGTAACTGTCGGACGAGTAATTAATAATTACTAATTACTAATTAATTACTAATTATCAATTACTAATTACGGAATCAGAACCATGGCCAAATTCTGGATATCGGATTTTGCCACGTGGCCCATGTGGGTGAAGGGGGTACAGTTGTCAAACAGGTCATGGATTCCGATCACGATGCAATCAAATGAATGATAATATTAGGGGGTTATCTACCCCCTTTTCTAAAATAATTAAACACAATAAAAACGGAAAAAGAACAATGACCAAATTCTGGGGAAAAAAAAAAAAAAAAAAAAAAAAACGAATCACGACCATAACTTTCTCGCCAGCAGTTTTTGGATTTTTTTTGTGTTTTTCAATTTTTTGGAAATTTTATTCGCTGTGTGACCTACCTTGAATTGGGAGGAGGTGGGTGGGATTACGGGGTCTACACCTGTATCGAGTGGTTCAGGGTTGGTGAGACGGATGGGATAAAGGGCAGGCGGGGATCCCTGCCATGCGGACGTGGCAGTGTAGATTGCATTAAAAAAAAAAAAAAAAAAAAAAAGAAGTTGATCACTGTGCTGAATAATGAGATTGGCCAGCTGCAGCCCCATTAACTGTAAGTGGAAAAGTTAAAAAAAGGAACTCCCAGATTTGAGGAAAACAAAATAAAAATCCTAGGTTTATACTGAGCTGAATGAACTTAAGTTGCTAAACCCATTAAAATTATAATAATAATAATAATAATAATAATAATAATAATCCTAGGCGACCAGAGTGGCCCGGGTCACTTGCCCGGCCGGGCAAAAAGAAATTTATATATGTATATATATATATCATGGCTATGCCGGACCCGGACCCGGACATTTCCGGACCTCCAGACATGGGAGGATCCGGACGGTCCGGATGTCTGGACAGGTCCGGAAATGTCCGGACCAATAATAAAAAAACAAAATCTGAAAAAAAGGTATGTTATGCAGAATAACAATGCAAACCACTTTTGGCTCAAGAGTCATGTCAGAATTCCTAACCAAACCTTGAGTTAAAAGTCAAAAACTATAAAAAGCTTTAAAAACACTTCAAAAACTAATAAAAGGTAATAAATTATAATTCAATTATTAATAATTAAAGAATTGGGGTTGTCTGATAAATTATTATAGAGAGAGAGCATGTCCGGACCCCCCCAAAAAGTATAAACGGGCCTGAAAAACCCCCAAAGCAAATTTTGGGGCTTGGCTCCTCAATGGGTAAGGGTCCTGGACCCTGTTTTTTTTCCCTCGAAATTTGGCAGATCCGGACCTTCCAGACCGGACATCTGGAGTCCGGACTGAATCCAGACCGTCTGGACGGCGGTCCGGACGTCCGGGTCGTAGCCATATATATATATATATATGACGATATATATATATATATATAATCAGGGTCACCAGCCTGTACGTATTGAGGTCCCCGGGCTGACCTCCGTACATACGGGCGGTCGGGGTCCCTTTCAGGGTCCGAACCCAAAGGCGTTTGGCCCCCGCCAAAAATTATTTCGGGGCCTAAAAATACGTTTTTTTTTTATATTTCTTTTGTGTGAGTTCTCTATGATGTGAGGTACATGCCAATAAATTTTGACGTCATTTGGCTCAGCCAAAAAAGAATTAAAAACCGCCAAAGATGGCGGTGTCAAAACGTGCTCGCCCACATGTTTTTTTCACAGTTTACTCTTTGTTTTCACTTTAGTTCGGGGCCTAAACAATTTTATTATTTTTTGAATCTTTTTTAATGGGTTTTGTATTATGTGAAGTACACATCTGTAAATTTTCGGGGTATTTGGCTGTGCCGAAAACAAATGAAAAATCGCCAAAGATGGCGGTGTCGAAAACGTGGTCGCGCACTCACTAAATTTAATTCTCTTTTCATTTTTTGTTATTTTTATTGTTAGTATTTTTTTTTCCATATTTTATTTTTATTTCCAATTTGGTTAGAAAGTTGGATGTAATGTTCAGGCAAATGTTGTTTATTTATTTTTCTTCATAACATTGTTTTTTCAGATTTTTTTTTTCAGTTTTTTTTTTTTTGTGTGTTTTTTTTCTTTTTTGGTCCGCATTCGCCCCGAACGGCCGAACGCATCCCCAAGGGGTCCCGTACGTTCGGGCGTTCGGGTTCGGGCGTTTGGCCCATCCCGAACGCGGGTTACCCTGTATATATATATATCTACTTTGATTTTGGTTAAGGTAGATTATCATTTACAATGTAATCAGTGAGGGGATTCTGCAGACTGTTGAGGGTTCAGCCTCCTGATGAGTCGGTGAAACTCCGACAAAACAGTTTGTCACAGCCCCTCGTTTGTTGTCCTCTTCTCTCTCTCTGCCTATGGTTTACCGGGCAGTTCTGTTTATGACGATATATGCTACGACTTCGCGAGCTTCCTGCTACGTTTTTTTCCGGTCAGGTTGAGCGGCAGTGGTCGGGGCCGTTACTAGGCGGCCATGATGTGCCTCTAATGCCAGCGGCGTGTCTGGAGTGTATTTTTTGGCTGTGACAGACCTTTCTTTGTTTCGTGGATGTTTTGCTGGCTTGTGATGGGTTGTGAACCGACAGTCTGTAGAGTTTTCCATCTGGTGTGGGTGAGTGACAGTCTACTTTGATTTTGGTTAAGGTAGATTATCATTTACAGTGTAATGTTACATATCGACTCACACGGGTCCTACCGGACCCGACTTAGGGCCGGAGGGACACACCAGGGCCTAAAGGCCCGACCTTTGGGGTTACAGGCCCTAAAGGCCTGATCTTGGACTGTCACCCATCGGGTAGGCCCAAACGACACTTCGTTTGGGCCTGGCGGCGCTCTTGAAGCTGCCKCCCGCCGATTGAGGCTGAACCGTCCATCTGGACGGTTCAAGGTCTGGCCTGGCCTCGCAGCATTGAGGCCAGACCATTGCCCACCGGTATAAGTACCGGTATCCACCTCAGTTGAGGGATCGGCCTACCGGAACTCTACCGGCACGGCATGGTCAGTGCTAGTGCACAGTTTAATGCGCTAAACTTAGCGCAGGGGCTGAAGCAGGAGCGCAGCATAGCGCAGCAGCGAGCGGAGAAGCAGCGGGCGACTGAGCTTGCAGGGCGGTCATTACCGCCTGAGGTATCGGGAGCTTGGAGGGTCTCTCCTCCTCTCCCCCGCCAGTCCCCTCTCTCTCTCTCTCCTCTTCTTCTTCTTCTTCTTCTTCTTCTTCTTCTTCTTCTTCTTCTTCTTCTTCTCCTTCTTCTTCTTCATCAGATTGGATACTTATACGAGTTGGACAGAGATCAGAGTTGGACTTCGGTGATATGAGACTGTGGTACTTACCTGATTGGAGACTTGGAGATTGTTGGGGTTGATACTCGGCGACATCACAGTTCAGACACCGGTTACATTTGGACTCTGTACCTCCGACATTGGTGACCTATTGTCCTCGACATTTTGATCTTGTTGGATRACATTTTGGACTACCATATCGGTGACCTATCAGATTCTATCTCGGTGACTTTCAGTGCTGTCTACCTACCCTACCTCCTTCGTCCCTCCTCCCCCATTCATCCGTGTATGTTGTGTACGGGGCTGAGCACCTTCTGTGTATGGCTCAGACCCCACCATCTCACGATTGTATGTGTGTGGAGTGATGCTATGTGAGTCAGTCTATGTGAGTCAGTCCGTTTATCAGACTTCCGTTGCATCTATACTCATCCTACATTGGTTGATTCTTGGTTCTGCCCATACTCATTGGAGTATGTAACAGTTTTGGTATCGGAGCAGACCAATAACGGATCTGCTCACCAGGTAAGTCCGTTTAGAATTAGATTATTTGTTTGATCTTCTAAATCGGCGCTGAATTATTATCAAGTTCAAAGTTGCAATTTTTTTTTCTTTTCGGTATTCTATTTAGTTCGGCATTTCCGTTCAAATCGGTATTCGGACTTATAATTCGGATTTCTGTTTTCTTCCGGTATGCTGCTATTTGAGTTCCGATTGAGTAATAATAATCCGATAATTGATTAAGTTTCGGATTTCTGATGATACACGAATTAGGGTTGAATCAGTATCAGGTTGAAATTCGGCGTTTCTGATTTCCATTCAGCATTCCGTTTTTCGGCATTTTTGTTGTAAATCCTATATTTCGTTTTCGTTTGGGATTTCCGTTGTCTTTCAGTATTGGAAATTAGGGTTACGAAAATCTTTTGGGTTTAGATCAACTTGGGGAAATTCGAACGTTTTGGGACCATAAATCCGGAAATTTCGCGGAAACGCGGAAAATTAGGGTTGGGACCGAAATTTTCGTGAAAATTTTTTTCGTTCCCCTTGTTTGAGAAATTCCGAAAATAGGTTTAKGCTTTTAAAAATCGGATTTTGACGGTGGAAATTCCCGAAAATTCGCATTTTCGAAAATTCGAGCGTTTTTCCTTCTGAAATTTTCCGAAATTTTTTTTAGCACACTAAGCCGTATTTGACCCTCAAACTACAACTTCCGGGTAGTTCACTCATTAACGGTGAACTCCCAGACTCATAGTAATCTCGAAAGAGACCTAGTCATATTACCATTCAAATTCGTTTTATGATTTCATTGATTAATTATCTCGTATTTTTTCATTAATTAAATTTATTGATTAAATCGTTAATTATGTTATTACGAATTTTCTGAATTGGTTCCGGGAATTTATTTTCGGGTTTTGATTAGGGGTCTATAGTCCAACAAGTGGGACAGGGGATTGTAGGTGTATTGCTTGATTGTTCTACCCCTGTTCCCACTCTCCCTACCCCCCGTGTTCTGTGATTACCAGGACTTCTCAAGTACCGCATCGGTTCAGACTGATGTCGACGGAACAGGACACCGGGGCACTGCCACGACGTTGTGCCAGAATCGCAATTCGTGCCCGCCCTGCAGTACCTCCAAGACCGAAGAAACTCAGCAGGCGGGCGACTCCAGCAGCATCAAGTACGGCATTGACGGTACAAGACGCCACCGGAGATCATCCCGCATACCCAGTCCGAGGAGCCAATGAGCCAGCGGCTGATTATCGTGGGCGGCTACTGGCATTTACGGAAGCCGTAGCTGCCGTCGAGGCCCGGAAGGAGACAGCAGAGGCAGAACGTCAGCGGCTAGCCAATGAAGCGGCAGCCGAAGCTCAGCGAAAGACTGAGACTGACGCAGAGACACGAGACAGACGGAATGCCAGCAGCACGGAGTCCCTGATTGCTAGTGAGCATCAGTGGACAACGGTACTCCAAGGCATGATCTTTGTGCCGACGGAAACGCAGGCGGAACCGACACAGGCGGAGGCAGAGAGAAGTAACCTGGCTACCGTGATGTTGAACGTAATGAGGGGAGTAATGTGGAACAACAAACTACTGCAGGCACACCTGCACGCGGAACGGCAGCAAAGATAGCAGTACCAGCAAGACCTGGCCGCTGTAACAGCCGGCGTCCGCGACGCAGCAATGCAGCAGCAGCAACAGCAACAGCTGATGAACTCTACCATCGCACGCATCAACAGCATTGAGGCCAAGGCCTCAGCAGCGCCAGGCTGCACGACGGACGCGACGAAGCAAATCAATGAGCGCATCGATCACGTCGTCACCATCATCGGCGACATAGGTGTTTTCAACGGACCGGACACGATCAGCACCACGGTGGCCGCCATCAAGACGGACATCACCAAGCTACAGACGAGACCGGACGCCGCTACAAAGACGTTCAAGATGCCGCACTTCGACATCTGCA